ACGCCCGATACATCCTCCGGAGCCGCCGGATCTCAGAGTTTCTCGATTGACCATCACCCGAATGTATCCTGGTCCTGGCTTCGTCTTATGATCGTGCGACTTGGCTGTAGTTGCTGTCGGGCGAGCGGGCGCGTCGAAGCAGAGGTCAGCCTGCCGACGGGTGCCCCACATCAGCTTTCCGCGGCGCACGCGACGGGGGTCAGCGCCAGCGGGGGGCAGCCGATTCCCTGTGGCTGACGCGGGCTTGGGAGCCACGTGGGACGCTCCCGAAAGGGCTTTGCCTTCGAGGGTCGAAGGAGTTGCCGCCTCTTCCTCGGCGGAAGGCGGCGGAAGCAAGACGGGGGCGCGGCTCCGCTGGCGGCTTCCTGCGGAAGTCTGGCGCAAGCCGGCGGAAGTGACGGATGCGCCCCCAGGAGATGACAACATGTTTGGGTCCCGGGTTTCCGGAATCGGCCACGTGGGGCCGATTCCCCTTCTCCCGCCCCCAGCTGATCGGGGGCGGCAAAGAGGGGGGTGATGACTAGGGGGGCCGCCATGATATTTCCCCAGATTTTATGGCGCCTCTTCTTATTTCATTACGTCCCTGGCCCCCCCGCTGGGCCGCGCACATGCCGCCGGTCATGATTTGCACCCCCCCCCCTCTTGGACACCCCCCTCTTGGCCGCTCCCGAGCTGAGCCCGGCTTCGGATCTACCTGCTGGGCTTCGCGACAGGGCCTGGGCCGACCCGGGTCCGTGCTTGCTCGGGCTGGTGCGTTCCAGGGCTTGGGACCTTCCGGTGGCCGTGCGGGGCCACAGATGTCCTGGTGACTCCTCGGGAAGCTCAAATATCGACAGCGCTTGCGCCCTGAGATCTCTCGTAGCAAGATTTGTCATCGCACGTATGAGTTTTATGATGTCTGCCCCCACTGCGAGCGTGCCAAACGAGTCGATCTCGACCCCACTGGTGATGCCGTTGGTAGGCTCTTCTCTGGGCCCTCGCACTCCCCGCAGCCCGCGACTCTGGAGCGACGCTGCATGGGGAAAGCAAAATTGCCCTCGCACGCACGCGCACACGGCCCGCAAGAGTCTGTGCTGAGGCGGGCTGGGGCCCTGGATGCCAGGCGTCAGTAAGATCAAGAAAAAGTTGCACAAGTATACATAATTGATCGGAGGTCCGCGAGGATGTTTTTGGGTCTGCGTTGGTCCTTGTTGCCGGCGCCTCTGGCGCCACCCCTGGTGCGCTCCAAAGGCGCCGATCCAAGAAATTTGCTGGACCTTCGAAAGTTTCTGTTTATGATGTTGTCGGTCCCTCTATCCTCGCTCTCTCTCCTCTCTCTCTCTTGTTCTCTCTCTCTCTCTCTCTCTCTCTCTCTCTCTCTCTTGTTCCATACTATATTTATACATGCATACATGCATGCGTGCATACATACATACATACATACATACATACATACATACATACATACATACATACATACATACGAAAGAGCGTGTTCTACCGCTGCTGGCGGAAAACCGGGGGGGGTCACTACCGGTTCGAACCCCTCCCCCCCCCCCTCCGGAAAACCGGGGGGGGTCACTACCGGTTCGAACCCCTCCCTCCCCCCCCAAGCTCATCATGAAAAGGGGGGGGGGTCACTACCGGTTCGAACCCCCCACCCCCCCCTCGAAAACCGAGTGGGGGTGCGGACAGTGGTGGGGACGGTGTTGGTGGGGACAGTGGTGAGGGGACAGCGGGACAGTGGTGGGGACAGCGGGGGGACAGTGGGACAGTGGTGGGGACGGTAGTGGTGGGGACAGTGGTGGGGACAATGGTGGGAACAGGGGGGACAGTGGACAGTGGTGGGAACGGTGGTGGTGGGGACAGTGGTGTGGGGACAGTGGGAATGAGGTGGAAACACTGGGACAGTGGAGGGTACAATGGTGGTGGGGACACTGGTAAAGGCGGTGGCGAGGACGGCGGTGGGACAATGGGACAGAGGTACAGTGGGGACAGTGGTGGGGACAGTGGGGACAGTGGTGGAAACAGTGGGACAGCTCAGTGGGACAGCGGAGGAGTCAGTGGGACAGTGGGGACAGTGGGGATAGGCAGTGGTTGGGTCCGTGGAGACAGTGGGGAGAGTGGAACCGTGGTGGGAACAGTTGTGGGAACAGTGGGGACAGTGCGACAGTGGTGGGGGCATTGGTGGGGACAATAGGGACGGTGGTGGAACCAGTGGGGACAGTGGTGGTGAGGACAGTGGTGCTGGGAACAACAGTGGGGGATGTGATGCGAGCGGTGGTAGGGACCGGGAGTCGTTTGCTGGCGGTGCGTGGGGGGGGGGTCGAACCGGTAGTGACCCCCCTCCGGTTTTCGAGGGGAAGGGGGGGGTTCCAACCGGTAGTGACCCCCCCCCGCTTTTCCGGATCCGGAGGGTGGGGGGGGGGGGGGGGTTCGAACCGGTAGTGTGACCCCCCCCGGTTTTCGAGGGGGAGGGGGGGGGGGGGAGGGGTTAGGGGAGGAGGGGGGTTTTGCCGGGAGGAGGGGGGGGGGGGGGGAGGGGTTCCGGCAGGGGGGGGGGGGGGGATTTTCGGAGGGGGGGGGGGGAGACCCCCGGGTTCCGGAGGAAAAGGTTGGCAATTTTCCACAGTAAAGCGGCGGTGGATCACGATATACATACATACATACGTACGTACGTACGTACGTACGTACATACATACATACATACATACATACATACATACATACATACATACATACATGTGTAATTCTACGTATATGCATGATCCCAGGTAAAGGGTGTACAGCCCCTGGGATGAGTCTAAGGGTTCCATAGGCCCCCATCCAGATGGGACGGGGGGGGGCGACGACAACGACGACGACGACAACGACGACGACGACGACGACGACGACGACGACGCAGATGCCGACGCCGACGCCGGCGCCGACGACGGCGCCGACGACGGCGCCGCCGCCGTCGACGACGACGACGACCACCACCACCACCACCACGACGACGACGGCGACGCCGACGACGACGCAGACGCAGACGGAGACTCAGACGCCGACGCCGACGCCGACGCCGACGCCGACGACGACGACGACGACGACGACGACGACGGACGACGGACGACGGACGACGGACGACGACGACGACGGCGGAAGACGACGACGACGACGACGACGACGACGACGACGACGGCGACGAACCGATCCGCACCCACAGGGGGCGGGCACTGGCACCTTCCACCACGTTACGCTTATAGGGCCGCGCAGGAAGGGGGGGGGAGCGATCCCCTTCGCGAGGCCGTTGCAAGGCTCACGGCGGGCGTAGCCTTTCCGCGGGGAGGGGGTTCGGTCCAATCTGCATTGGGGGGGGGCCACCATTGATCACATCTGCGCATGGAGCGTTTCCAGAAAGGGCCTCGCGTCCCCGTCAGCGACAGGCTGGCGGAGGGCAGCGGAGGCAAAAGCGAGGCGAGACGTCCGCATTTTGTCAGCCAGGGTGTCCGAGGACGGCCACACTTCCAGCCCCACCAGGGGGTGTTCCAAGATCGTGCGGCCTTGTTCCCTGCGCCGTCTGCCATCGGATGCTCACCATTGGGGTCGGCGCCAGATGTTCAGCGGCGTCAGCTAAAGCCGATTCCAGAACGAAGCCCGTTTTCAACAGATCGCCCCCTCAGCGTTCGTCATTGGGACCGTCCTGTTGGGCAGCACTCCGTTGGGCTGTCATGTAGTGCCTGATCCCCCCAGTGAACTTCCTCCTGCTCCCGTTGACGGCCTCCCTCTCCCTGTAATCGCGCTTTGCAGGACAGAGATGGTTTTCTTGAAAACTGCCATGCGTGTTACATAGGCGGAGAATACGAACTCGAAGAATTTAGAAGACAGGCTTATGATACAGCTCGTATGGCCAGACCGGTGTTTCGCAACGGGCGCGCCGCAATTCATTTGCCCCCATTTTTGCCTGGATTGGAACAATCACTCCCGTGCACACCAACAAGAAATAATCGGGGTGGCCTCTCGGGGGCCACGTCGGGGTTCTCGCGGAGGCCGCTCGGGGGGGCTCGTCCGGAGCCTCCCGGGCCAGCTCGACGGCAAGGCGGAGCAAGGGAGCGCGACACGCGAGTCCTGGCCGCAGGCCAGCACCGACGCCCGCGCGCCGCGCTCGGGCGTCGCAGGGCGGCGCCGCAATAGCCCCCCAAAAAGGTCCTCGTGCGGAGGAGGAGGAGGAGGAGGAGGAGGAGGAGGAGGAGGAGGAGGAAGAGAGGAGGAGGAGGAGGAAGATGAGGGAGGAGGAGGAGGAGGAGGAGGAGGAGGAGGCGCGGCGCGCGCGAAACCGTCGCCCCTGCCCTTTCGCCGCGGAACGGCGGTGCCGCGGCGGCCCCCGCGGCGGGGCGCCGCGCGCGGGGGTCGGGAGAGGGTGGTGAGAGGGGCGGGGGGCGACCAACCTCAAGATATCGGCGAGCTCGAGAGAGGGGGAGGGGAGGGGGGAGGGTAAATACAACCAAAACATTGAAAGTGAGGAGGGCAACCCCCCTCTCCCTCCCAAGAGAGGGGGGTGCAAAGTAAAAGCACCGTTGAGGCCCAAGTGGGTAAAGAATAACAAGTTGAAGCCAAAGACGCCAGCATGCTTAAAACAGGAACAACATGCTACATCTCCGAATTGCCTCCGCCTACATGAAATCGATGTGGTCAGGGGGAGATGGGGAGGGCTGCTGGAAACCTATTTGAAAAGGTGGGGCGTCAGCGGGGTGCTAGTCGAAACCTCATGGCGTATTGGGGCAAGGGGGGAGGGGCTACGTATTGACTTGTATGTGAAAGCTGTGTGGCATGGAATGGATGCCTACATAAATCAAGGGGCGAAAGGGCCTGTGGGGAGCAAGGGCCCTACGAGATCCAGGGGCAGTTGTGGGCCTCTTGGAACACCGAACCATTGATTCAGTCAATTATGGGGGGCGGGGGAGCTTCCAGGAAATCGGACACAGCGGCTTTCGCACCGCGACGCCGTCGAAGGAACTTCCCCGAACCCAGCGATGTGGGGGCATAGAGACCACTGCATTGTTTCCTGAGACCCCGTGTCGCAGCACAACGGCAGACCCCAATTCGAACACAATGGCCCAGCGCTGGGGCCTACTGAGCCAAGAAAGGCTCCCCTCATTTGATACCACTGGAAACCAGAGCCAATCCAGGGCCTCTATTCCAAATCTCTTCAACCCGTCAGCAACTTCTAGAAACGAATGTTCGAGCTGTTTTCCTGAAGACCGCTCTCCTGCACAGCGCGGTTACAGCCCTCTCCCTCCATGCCCTTGGTCCTTCTCCCCCTCCTTCTCCCTTCGGCTTCAGTCCAGGTCTTAGTGGGCCCCGGAAGCGGCAGGGCCGTTTTTTCACCGTTCCCTAAAAATGTCCCTTGAAAATGGAAACGGCAAAAAAACGGCGACCGGAAACGGCAAAAACGGCTCCAGGATTAGAACCGGAGCCGGACTCGGTCAACAAACGGCGACGGAACCGGTAAAGAAACGGCGTCGGAACCGGCAGCAAAAACGGCAGAACGGAACCGGTAAAAAAAAACGGCCTGGTCGTTTCCAGGGCCCACTCTAAGGTCCAGGTCTGGCCCGCTGTGCCCTGGATCTGACCGCGGGCCGCGACAGCTCATGGCTACTCCAGATTTCGTAATAAAAGGGAGGGGGTCTGGACCCTCCAAGACAAGCCATCTCAGACCCCCCCCCCGTGGGAGAACCCTCCAAAACATCGTCCCCAGACCCCCCCAGGCCCTCCAAGATAGCCTGGAAGAGACCCCCCCCCGAAATGAGAACACCCCTCCCTTTATTACGAAATCTGGAGTAGCTTCCGCTGGCCAGTGGGGGCAAGGGGGTGGCCCTACGCCTCCGCGCGGCAGCCGGGTCCCGGAGCACCCGCGTGCTCCGAGCTTAAGCTAGCGGTTGTGAGCCCGCGAGGCCGAAGGCAGCCGCGCGCCGCGGCACGGGGCGGGAGAGCCGGCCTCCTCCGGAGAGGGCAAGCGCGTGAGTTCGAAGGTGACCGCGGGGCGCGAGGTGCGAGTTCGCGTGGCCCAGCCTCGAGCGCCCGGGTCGTGCTTCTCCTCCTTCTCCTCCTCCTCCTCCTCCTGCTCCTCCTCCTCCTCCTCCTCCCTCCTCCTCCTCCTCCTCCTGCTCCTCTCTCCTCCTCCTCCTCTCCTCCTCCTCCTCCTCCTCCTCCTGCTCCTCCTGCTCTGTCCTCCTCCTGCTCCTCCTCCTCCTCCTCCTCCTTCTCCTCCTTCTCCTCCTCCTCCTCCTGCTCCGCCGCAGCTCCCCAGACCCCGGGAGCCGCGATTCATGTTTGCCGGCAGCGTGACCCCCCTGGAGGTTTCGACCCTTTCCCTGGGACTGGCTTCTCATCCCGAGTCGTTTCTTGATGTTCCTGAAGCTCTATGGGGGGCCCCCCCAGAGGCCATGAATGACCATATATGCTCCGTCGTGGAGTTGTCGCGACGCGAGAGGATCTGGGCCTGAGGGGTTTTAAAATCGTCCTGCGGATTTGTCTTGTGGATGCGTCCTGGCCAGAACTTCGAGTCGGAACCAGCCGTGACGTCGAAAAGCCCCCCAGAAGCAAACAAGGAGCCCGAAACGTCGACCGTCGAACGTCGACCTGCTAAGGTGTCTGGTTTCGCCCCCCCCCCCCAAAAGGGTGGAGAAAGGAACCAACATTTAAGCCTCCCGCATGGATTCCGAGTAGATGGGGTCAAATGATCGCCCCGCATGGTCGATACATCGGCGATGCGACCCGATGCGGAGCCCGATTTTCTCCACACCGATGTCGCCGATACATCGCCGATGTCTCGGGGATGCGGCGCGATCCTCCGACCCCATCTGCTCGGACCCCATCTAGGAGGCATCTACAGAGTATACTCGCGGCCGACGAGGCCAGATCATCTGCGGCGACGGCGAGCGGGCCGGGCAGGCGGCTGTGCGCGAGAGCGGGCTGCGGTTTCTTGGCACACACGCCCGGCGCCTAGAGGCCTTCTCCCGTCTAGACCTCCCAGATGGGGTCCGAGTAGATAGGGTCAGAGGATCGCGCCACATCACCGATGCATCGCCGATGCGTCGCCGATGCGGCGCGATGTGGAGTCCGACGTTCTCCACGCCGACGGCGCCGTTGCATCACTGGCGTCGCCGAGGCATCGCCGATGCATCGCCGATGCGGCGCGATATGGAGTCCGATGTTCTCCACGCCGACGGCGCCGATGCATCACTGGCATCGCCGATGCATCGCCGATGCGGCGCGACCCTCCGACCCCATCTAGGAAGCCTCTGTTCTAGCGGCTCGAGGATCGAGTCTGTCGGAAGTGTGTCGCCCTAGTTGAGCTTTCTGTGGGCTCCTCGTCGACCAGTCTGGATTTCTTTTGAAAGCCTTGACACTTCGCGTATCCCCACCGGCCTACCCAGAAGCGATGCCCAGGCGAGTTGCCATGATCAGGGGAGGGTGGGAGAATGCATTGTAACCGAGATAAGCGGAAGCCATCATGCCGAAGTTTGGGGGAAACCTAAGCAGACCCAGGAGTGAACCATATATGTTTTCGCGTCCCTGCCGAATGAGGAGACGGAGGAGTAGAGTGGGCGGAGAAGAAGGATGATGGGCAGAAGGCGAGATGAAGAAGAGGAGGCGAAAGAGGAGGAGAAGGAGGAGCGAGGAAGAGGAGGCAGGCGAGCAGGAGGAATATGAGCTTGACGCAGCAGGTTCCCACATAATTTCTGGTGAGCCCTAGGTGGCAGGCAGAGGATGGGGAGAATGACGAGAAAGAGGAGGAGGAGGAGGAGGAGGAAGCAGTGGGAGGAGGAGGAGGAGGAGGAGGAAGCAGTGGGAGGAGGAGGAGGAGGAGGAGGAGCAGCAGGAGCAGGAAGAGAAAGAGGAGGAGGAGGAGGAGGAGGAGGAGGAGGAGGAGGATGCTGAGGAGGAGGAGGAGGAGAAGCACGCGGGGGAGGCAGGCGGCAGCGGCGGCGGCGGCGGCGACGACGACGACGACAATTCGACCATAAAGGCCCTTGCGGATGCCGATCGTTCGCCCTGGAAGCCTCTTGGAACCCTCTGGACCCCCCCCCCTGCTTGTGGTGGTGGCAGTGAAAAGCAAGCCCACCAACGATGCTGCAGCCGGCGGCTTTGCGGGGCGCATGCCGGCCTTTGGCAGCAGATTTGGGGCCCCAGAGGGGCCAGGCACCCCCGCGCCCTGGCGCTTCGTGAGGGAGGGGAGGGCGACAAGCCCATGCCCCCTCGAGTCATGAAAAAAAACGACGGGAGGCTGTCCTCCTCTTCGTCGTCGTCGTCGTCGTCGTCGTCCTCCTCCTCCTCCTCCTCCTCCTCCTCCTCCTCCTCCTCCTTTGGACCTGCCCAGCCGAGGGCACTGGCTTGGCAGATGCAGGATTGTAGTGCTCGCCAGGCTCGGGGGAGTTCCTCGGTCCTTGCCCGCCTCCGCCCTGGCCAGGGCCACGATCCGGGAACCCAGGTCCTCTATTTTCGGTATCGGGAGGTGGTCCTCCTCCTCCCCCCTCCCCCTCCTCCTCCTCCTCCCCTCCTCCTCCTCCTCCTCCTCCTCCTCCTCCTCCTCCTCCTCCTCCTCCTCCTCCTCCTCCTCCTCTATTTTCGGTATCTGGGGGCCCTTTCCGCGCGTCGGGACCGTATAAAAGCAATGCAGGATCGGAAGCTGGTCCCGCTACCCTCGTCAAAATTAACCTCAACGGTTGCTGGCACGTCATTTCGATTTCGGCGCGCCCCTCAATGTCGGCACGCCGCCCCTTCAATGTCGGGGCGAGGGCAAAGATAGTCTGACCGAAGTTGACTCGAACGTTTGACGTCGACCGACATTGGAGGGGCGGCGCATGCAAGTACCCCGCACTCATCGATACTCGGCCCCAGATCTTCCGACAAGCAGTTCAACCACGTCAGACATGTTTGAGGTTAATTTTGACGAGGGTTGCGGGAAGTGGTCGAGGCCTCTCGGGGTCGACGTTTTGAAGAAAAGCATGACGCCGGGGGTCTGGTAACGGGGGACGGGGGGAACAAAAGGCGCACCTCCCGTGCGCCCCTGAGGCCCTGGCGCTGCAACAATTTTTCCCCAGGGGCGCTTTCGCCCGGCCGCCGGGCCCAGGAGCCTCCACGGATCGATGCAGCTCGAAGAGTGACGCAGAGAGCTGGGGCACGCTTCAGCGTGTCAGCGGCCCTCCCGGGCCTAAAAGGGGCACGACAGGTGTGCGCTTCTGCCCCCCCCCAATGAAGCAATGCCCAAGGAAAACCAGTCCGATCCCCATGATTGACGTCTGCAGCTGGACAGCCTTGGGCGCTTACCAGACAGCCCTACGCTGTTCGATTCCTCCCTCGGGTGCGTTTGCGAAAAGGGGGCTCTGGTGGTGATTTTCCGGCGCTTCTGCTTTTGGGCAACGTCGGACTTTAGGGACCTTCGTGGCCCTGGAGGAGCCCCTGAAGCCCACCAGGTGCACGAAAGGTGCACGCTCCCTCGCCCCCCTCATCGTCCTCCTCATCCTCCTCCTCCTCCTCCTCCTCCTCCTCCTCCTCATCCCTCCTCCTCCTCCTCCTCCTCCTCCTCCTCCTCCTCCTCCTCCTCCTCCTCAGCAGCAGCAGCATCATCATCATCCTTCTCCCGCCTTCACCTCCTCCTCCGTTATCCTCCTCCTGCTTCTCCCTCCTCCTCCTCCTCCTCCTCCTGCTCCTCCTCCTCGTCTCCTCCTGCTCCGCCTCCTCTTCTCCCTCCTCTTCATCCCTCCTCCCTCCTCCTCATCCCTCCCTCCTCCTCCTCCTCCTCATCCTTCTCCTCTTTCTCCGTTTCCTCCTCCTCCTCCTCCTCCTCCTCCTCCTCCTTCTCCTCCTCGTCCTCCGCCCTGGCTTATCGCCCACCCCGCCAGTCGGCAGCGCCCCATGGGTGCTCCCACGCCTCGCTCCTCCGACCGCAGCCGGCGCCGTGGAGTCGCTCCTGCGCGTAAGTGGGCTCGCCCGTCTCTGCCGGGGCTGGCAGAGGCGCCGACCCAGGGGCCAGCTGGTCAGGGGCCGCTGGGCGTCGAGGATCGAGGATCGGTGAGGCGGTTTTTCCCAACCATCCTGTGGTGGTGGGCCCTCGATTTGAAGAGATAGCGCCCCGCGTCCCACCTCCACTCCACTCCTCTCATCGCCTCTCCTCTCCTCTCTCCTCTCTCCTCTCTCCTCTCTCTCCTCTCTCCTCCTCCTCCTCCTCCTCCTCCTCCTCTTCTCCTCCTCCTCCTCCTCCTCCTCCTCCTCCTCCTCCTCCTCCTCCTCTCCTGCTCTCCCCTTCACTTGGGTCAGACCTCCTCTCCGCTCCGCTCCTCTAGCACGTAACGGTCGCTACCAGGGCCATATCCACCTCCCCCCCAGGGTATCGATAACGAGCATACGTTTGGGGGGAGCTGCCAGTGCTCGCAGACTCCCTGTTGGTGTTCGCAGGCGCCTTGGCGGTGCTCGCAGGCTTTACGCAGTTGCCCCACCCCGCCTGAGCGTTACCGCTACGCGGAAACAAGTGGCAAGCGTGCCATGGTTCGTGCACGTAAAGGAGGGGGAGGGGGAGGAGGAGAGGAGGAGGAGGAGGAGGAGGAGGAGGAGGAGGAGGAGGAGGAGGAGGAGGAGGAGGAGGAGGATGGGCGGGAGGGGAGAGGAGGGACGATAAAGGGGAGAAGTAGGAGGAAGAGGGGGAGGATAATGAAGGGCAGAGGCGGAAGTGGCGACGGAGGGGATCGTGTACTCGATGATGTCCACTCCGGCCACGGGCCTGGGCCATTTCCTCCTCGTCATCGTCCTTTCCACCCTCCGCCCCCTCCTCCTCGTCCTCCACCTCTTACTTCTCCTCGTCCTCGCGATCTTCCCCTGCGCCATCGCGCTCGGCGGGGGGGGACGGGTTGGAGATGAGGGGCGAGGATCAGAGCCACAAGAAGGGCTCAAAAGGACAACGGGGACGATGGCGATGATCATGGCGACGATGACGAAGTGGGAGGGGGATCTTAGGCCCCCATCCCCCTGTCACAGATGTCAGGCCCGCGTTTCCCACCCAGTGCGGCAACTTGAAGTCCACATTAAGTTTGAGCGGTAGAACGTGCCGCGTCAGCTCCTGGTAGTCGTCGTCGTCGTCGTCGTCGTCGTCGTCGTCGTCGTCGTCGTCGTCGTCGTCGTCGGGGATGATGCTGGACGGCGGGCTTCGACAGGATGCTCTCAACTTCTTGGCCGCGTGCCCGCGCCTGGCTCGCTGTCCTGCTCGTGATCGTCCTCTCAGAGCTCCCCAGCGCAGCTGCTCTCCCTTCCCACCTCCCCATCCGGCGGAGCTTCTCCTCCACACTCTCCTCCACGTCTTCCTCGCCTCCTCCCTTTCCCGTGCTCCAGGTCATCCGGCCCCGTCCACTCTTGCTACGCCGCCTCCTCCCACAACTTCTCCTCCCCTCACCGCCGGCGTCATTGTCATCATCACTATCATCATCTCGATCGCCTTCATCATCATCTCTTGTGCTTCACCATCCTCCTCCTCGTCATCATGTTCGTTCCCCTCCCCGCCACTCCCGCTCCCCCAGTCCCTCGGGCACCCCTCGCCCATCGCGTGTCCGCGCTCGGTGCCCCTGCAGACGAGGGCGGCCTGCAGGGCAAATTCTGCAGTAGCGAAGGTGAGGGAGAGGGGGGGCTGGAGATGATGCGGCAACAATGGTGATATGATGACGGTGATCGTTTGATAGGATAGAGGTGATATGGTTACCGTATGATGCGACATAGCGATGTAATGACATATGATATAGAGCTAGAGTTATATATTCATGTTATGCAGTGATATGAGGTTGATGATATGATGGTAGTGGCATCGTGATGTAATGATCTAGTGATATCGCAACGACGCGAACATCTGGTAGCGACCGACACGAACATTCGGTAGCGACGAAATCAAATTCGGTAACAGTCATCAGCTCAGTTTCGGAAATGACGACAATCAAATCCAGTAACGGCGACCAGATCTTCGAAGACGTCGGCGACCTTCGCTCCTGGCATTCGTCGGTGACTTTCAAATGTTGGGCATTCCCGGTTCGTCTCCGCCGCGACCAGAAATTTCCAGTCGCGGATGATTTGGGGAGGAACCTCCGGGAAACGGGCAACGTAACAATAGGAGGCACTGGGGGCGGGGAACCCGAGAAACCCGAGGAACTCGAGGAACCTTCGAGCAACGGGCAAAGTAACAACAGGAGGCACCAACCCTTAGCCAAGTAAGAACCCCTTAGGCAAGCTCAATGGGGAAAAAATATCAAGGTAGCAATTTTCGGCACCGAGGCTCAATGTCCGAAGATCGAGGATCGAGGGTGGTGCCGCTTTCCCCTCGTCGACGCCTGAATCCCCAGCTGTCTCGGCTCGAGCCGAAGCAGCGCCACCTTTGGGGTCTGCTCGGAGCGGCCAGCGATGCTCGCCGCGGGGCCTCGGGCGGTTGGTGCCTCCCCGCGGCGGGCGCAGCCGCCGCTGCCGCTCGTGGGCCGGGGCCACTGCGGCCCGTGCTTGGTGGACCCCGCGAGGCTGGGGATGCCGGCCTTCTCGCGGCAGGTGCCGGAGGGGGCCAACCATCCAGATTTCTTCGAGCCATGAAAAAGGCACGACTGAAGGTTGTTCGCTAACATCGGCCCGTGGGGCCTTTCCCAGGCCTCGGGGCCGCCAACAAAACAGCTCGGGATGAAAAGGCGGTCCTGGGGATTGGGTCGAGACCTCCGCGGGTCGGCGCCGTGAAAAATTCATGACGTCGGGGTTTGGTCATACATATGCGCGGAGCTTGGGCCTTGCATCTGTGTGCACGGCCTCCTGGCTTGGCGAGGATGGCATCCACGCTAGTCCTGGGCACAGGCCTGCGTCACGAAAAAGTGAAACATCGTACAAACACTCTAGCCCTGGACCCCATGTTTCTGTGACATTTTCCGAGTCGGATCGATCCGCGAGGGCCTCCAAGGCAAACTCGCCCGCTGTGCAAAAGATGCAAAGCCAGGGTTTCAAGGGGCCTGGACAGGATCGGTGCGGGTGCATGCCAAGCAGTGGCGAGGCGTCCTGGCTTACCCATAGGCCCACCTTAGAATGTTTTCAGAACCAGTTAAGGCTGGCACGAAACAGTCTTTCTGAGAACATTTCTGAGTGGCACCGTTTTTTTATAGTACATCGCGTTGATGTTATAAGAGCTTTGCCCCTATTGTCATCGCACCCTCGTGTTCTAGGCATGTTTCGTGGTGGGCCTGCAAGGGTGCCAGGGCGCCTGGACCCTGCCCGAGCATGGCCGACGCCCTCCGGAGGTGAGCGCGGCGGCAGTGGGCGGCCTCCTGGCCGCAGCCAGCCGCCACTGTCCGCAGAAGGCGCTGCGCCTCCGCGCGGCGGGGCGAGCCTGCGCCCGCGTCCAGAGCGCCAGCAGACTCCAAAAAGCGCGGGTCGCCGAGGCCCTGCCGCCGTTGGTGCAGGTCCGCGTGGGCCCAGCGCCGAGGATGGGCCTGGCAGCTTCGGGCGCCGCGGGGGGGGAGGGGGGGGCGACGAACGGAGAGGGGGGGGTTCCGAGGGGGGGGACCTTTTGCGCGCCCCAAGGGGCCCCGAAGAGGCCCCCCTGGACCCCAGAAGGTGCACGCTTCTCCCCCGCCCAGGGCATTTGTTCGAATCGAAGCCTTTTTTTTTCATATGGGGTCAGAATAGTTGGGGTCGGAGGATCGCCCCGCGTCGCCGATGCATCGACGAGGCGGTGCGATCCTCCGACTCTTTCTACTCGGACCCCATCTAGGAGGCCCTTTTTCAATCTCAGAAACAAGCCAGACCCCGTGAGGGGTCCAGGCCTCGGGCAGTTTTGTTTGGTTTTGTATATACGCGTATATGTATATGGATAGACGTGTATACACATATATATATATATATATACATATATATATATATATATACACAGCACGTGAAGCAAGACACACAGCGTGTTGATCAAACACCAGATCAGGATTCCTTGAGATCCTCGCGCCGCATTTGTTCACAACGGGCTGTTCCTCCTTGTTTCGGACCCCAGGGCCCTCACGTATCGACCTGGCTCGAAGAGATGCTGCGGAAAGATGGGGCTCAGGGCTCGGGCCGACTTTTCTTGCGATGTCGCAACTTTTCCGTGACGTCGGATCTCAGGGTTCGACGACATGATGGTTGTCAATCGCGGCGTTTTTCCGTAAACTCCGCCTCCAAGGCCCGTTATCGGTCTTGGGGCCATCAAAAATGGCGTCGCACCTTTTCTTCACAACTGGCGATTTTGATTTTGCCTTCTTTGGGCCCGGGGACCCTCGCGAATCGATCTAGCTCGAACAAATCATAGGAAGATGAGGTCCAGGGCTCGGGTCGAGTTGTCTTTCGATGTTGCAACTAATCCGAGGCGTCGGATCTCAGGGTCCGACGACATAGTGTGTGTCAAGCGCGGCGCTTCCTTCGTATCGACCCCAGGAGCCTGTTACTCGGCCCTGGAGCCATCAGACATGGATATGGTGTTAGCCCTGATCTATTATCACGCTGCAGTTGATTCCTAAACTAACTCTCTAGTCTTTTTCCACTGAACATGTAAGCTTGTGCGCGTTGCACGTGTCATGCTGTTCTGGTGAGCTTTCCAACAAAATGCACCATGTGGTGTTAGTCCAATGGTGCACTGTTGGTGCACTTGCGCGAAATGTGCACCACTACGATGACGCATGTGTTGTGCACGTTGAGTGTACTTAAGCTAAACAGAAAAGCACCACTACGATGGTGCAATGTTTACAGCGCTTTGACAAAGAAACGCGTCACTACAGGGACCGTGTAAGACCGTCGGCCCCTGATTCTAACAATGGAGAGCACCATTTTCAGCAGCAGCAGTAGAGCAACATGGCATGAGCACGTCTCTACTCAAGACGGTGCAATTGCGGGCGCAAAGGTGCACCTTATTTGCTTGAACGCAAGACAAAAGATGCACGAACACTGCACCACCATGTGATCACCGAAACGTCAAAACGTGCACCGCGCAAAGAGGGAACAACTGAAACAAACACAACGGACGCACACAACAAAAAACAGCACCAGCTGTGCATAGCTGAAGACAAGTAAACAACATGGAACGCCACACTCAGCTGCAAACCTAAAACTTGAAGACAATCGTCAATCCTGGTGACTTGCAAGTTCGAAACAAATGATGATCCTTAGATGTAAGTTTAACTTTCAAGTCAACCTTATACTTAGGTCTGAAACTTAAAAAACAAAGTCCAACAGGCAGTCAGAGGGGGGCGGGAAAATATTCCCAGGGAAGGGGTTGGGAGCTCTGAGTCCGGGACTGACAGAAAGAGGATGTCTGGGGGCTCAGCCATTGTCGTCGTCATCTTCGGCCGCCTTCTTCCCCCGGGCCCGCAGGGTGGGGGGGGGGATGACCATGAGCGCCAGCAGCAGGAGTGGTACAGCAACTGGATGCGTGTGCTGTCAGCGCGGCGGCGGCGCCAGCGCGGACCTTCAAGGCTGAAGGCTGCTGGCGCCCTGAGTTTGGCAGGTATTCATACGACCTCGGCGGCCAACGCCACGGCTGGTCAAGGCCGCACGATCCGCGCGGTGTCAGAAGCCAGCGGACAGGTCGCCAAGACGCGAAGCTGCCACAGAGGGGGGAGACGGGAGCGGCGCGGCGCGGATGGAGGAGATAGGCCTCCCCCAGGACGGGCAGCCAGGGGCGAACGCAGGACGCCGCCCACTTCGAGCTGGAGGCCCTAGGCGGGCGCGCCCTGCTGGAGCAGGCGAGGGGGAGCCCGCGGGGGCCTCTGGGGCGCCTGACCTCTCAGCAGACCGCTAGGCTGTCGTCGGCCCTGGCCGACGGCGCGGACGTTGGCTTCCTCTTCGTGAAGCCGCACGCCAATTTTGAGAAGGGGCGCAAGTGCACGAAGGAACTCCTGGAACGCTCTGGCGTGCGCGTGGTAGCCGAGGGGGAGCTGAAGGCGCTGGAGATGAGCCGCGATCGAGCCACCCCAACCTCGACTCGGCCCGACCTGGCGGATGGCGCATCCTGGATCTGCCCCCCTGCGTCCCTGCCCCTCATCCAGGGCCGCTCTGCCTCGCTGGAAGGGGTGGGCAGGAAGCCCGTCCTCCTCGGGCTCCTGCTCCAGCCCATCCTCATCATCCTCCTGCTCCTCCTCGTCCCGTCTCACGGCTACGCCGCTGGCGTCAGGAGTGTTCTTGTGATGGACGTCATTCGGGTCTCGTCTCCAGGCTCGTGAAGCCGAAATTGCATAGCGCATCGACCAGGATCTCGGTCGGGCCCCGTGTTCGCAAGAAGCGTTTTTTGAGCCCAGTCTTTCTGTCGAAGGCCCAGGCTCGACCTCGCCTGGGCGCCCTTGGCCTTGCGTGGTCGGACCAGTGCTGTTTCGTCGGCCCGGGTCCTGCTCCTCCTCCTCCTCCTCCTCTTCCTCCTCCTCCTCCTCCTCCTCCTCCTCCTCCTCCTCCTCCTCCTCCTCCTCCTCCTCCTCCTCCTCCTCCTCCTCCCCCTCCCCCTCCTCCTCCCCCTCCCCCTCCCCTCCCCCCCTCCTCCTCCTCCCTCCTCCTCCTCCTCCCTCCTCCTCCTCCTCCTCCTCCTCCTCCTCCTCCTCCTCCTCCTCCTCCTCCTCTTCCTCCTCCTCCTCCACCCCAGGACAGAGCCGTGGGCCCACCCACAGCGACACACAGAGGGCACTGGGGCTCGGTGACCCTGCGTGGCGCGCAGGCAGCACCCGCAAGACCATTGAGCCGAAACGCAGCACCGGGGGCAGCTGTCGCTCGTGGATCGGGAGCCTTGAGACGAGGGTCAATGCAAACGGGGGTCAGCCAGAGCGCCCGATCTTGCAGGATCCTGCAGGGCCAGGGTCGCATTGACCCTGGCTTGGGCGCAGGATCTTGCAGGTTCCTGCAGGATCCTTCGCATTGACCCGGGTTTGGCTGCAGGATGTTGCAGGAGTTTGCAAGGCCTGACTGACCCGGATCTGGATTGACCCGGGTCAGAGGATACCCGAGGAGTGAGGGGGGAGGCTGGGCGGGTGTGAGCAGAGCGCGCCCAGGGCGTGGGTGACCCCGTCCTGTGAGGCAGCAGCTTCTCCAACACTCCCTGGGTCCCCTTTCAGAGTGGAGACCACGACTGTGTTCCGGTGTCCCCAGGGCTCGACCGACAGACCGACAGGGCTCGTGGCACCTAGAACGGCGCAAACAGAACCTGTCGGAGGTCCGCGCAGATCTCTTGGATCGGCGCCGGAGCGCGCCAGGGGCAGCGCCGGAGGCGCCGCCAAGGGTCTCCAGCGTCGATCCGAGAAATCCGCCCAGACCTCCGACAGCTTTCATTCATGCCGTGGCTTGTTTCGCTGAGGATGGAGCTCCCACGAGGCCGGGTCGAGTCGAGCTTGGAGTGCTCAGCCATCGGGTCATCGACAAGCACTACAGGAGCATAGCCGCGAAGGCGATGGACCTGTGTCCGAAGGACAGGGGCGGACGACAGGGGGGATTGAGGATTGGGAAATCTGCTTCACCCGGTCTCCTCCTCCTCCTCCTCCTCCTCCTCCTCCTCCTCCTCCTCCTCCTCTTCCTCCTGCTCCTCCTCCTCCTCCTCCTTCTCCTCCTCCTCCTCCTCCTTCTCCTCCTCCTCCTCCTGCTCCTCCTCCTCCTCCTCCTCCTCCTCCTCCTCCTCCTCCTCCTCCTCCTCCTCCGGTTCCTCCCCCCACTCCTAGCCTCCTAGCCCTTTCGATCAGGGTCGGCGGCACTGGCCGTCAGGCCTCTCCAATCTGCTTCACCCAGCCAGACCTTGGAGGGCTGACCTGCTTCCAGAAGACCAATACTTCAGCGGTGCTAAAGTCCGTCGAATTTCCAGAGGGGCATATCGCGTGGGGCAGATGGGGCAGGTTGACGCGCACGCGCGTTCGGCATGTGTCTCATGATGAGTTGATTTCCAGTGACCGCAATTCCCATTATTATCGCGGTCATGGCTACATAGTTGGCCACTGTCGAGTTGACGGTGGTGATCGCAGTCAGCACCATGATGATTAGTACCGGCACGGTGGTATGAAAAGGTGAACATTTTCATGATGATGGGCCATGATCATCACGAGTTTGTTGGCTGATGATGATTTTGATGCTGCTGATGATGATGCTGATGATGGTGATGAGGATGAGGATGAGGATGGAGATGCTGATGCTAAAGATGGTGGTGATATTGCTGATGTTGATGCTGCTGATTCTGGTGATGATAAGAGTATAATAAGAATAGTGGTAATGATGATGGTGATGATGATGATGCTGCTGCTGATGATGATGATGGTGACGGTGGTGAAGATAATGGCGATTATGATGTTGCTGCTGATGATGGTGGTGGTGGTGATGGTGATAATGATGGTGACGAGCCCCCCATCCCCCCTTAGGCCATCCGCCAGCGTAGATTATTGTAATAAATGCTGATCAGGATGAATCTGGTCCCGTCCACAAAAAAAGAGCGGGATCAAGTCCCACCCACCCCGTCAAGTCCCGTCTCGCAGTTGATCAAATTCCGGCCAGGCTAATTTTTCTCAGCGAAAATGTCTTTTTCTTCATGATGTACTCGGGCCTGTGCCAAAACATGCTTTCACTTTCCAGCTACAAGCGTCTATTGACACTTTGGGTGTCGCTACGTGTATAGACACATTTGGGACGGATGCGTCTGTAGACAACGCGGTCATTGCTTGCGTTCGGCACAGAGCAAGGTCGGAGAAAAGGTGGATCCGTCTACGGTAAGCTTCTGTTCTAGAGCAGGTCCCACATGGTACTCCAAGCCAGACCCCCTCGCACCGTGAAAACAACATGACGGAGGCTCTGGGCTGCTTTGCGCCATCAGGGAGCCTCTTTTGCTGGGCCCCGGGGACGTCAAAGAACTACCCGGAACGAGAGGCGGGTCCCAGTGAAGAGGTCGAAGCTTCTCCGAAGAACAAACAGAAAGTGGTAATTATACACGTGATTTCTTTCGGTGTGCTAGGCCCCGGGGACGTCAAGGAACTGCCCGGAACGAGAGGCGGGTCCCGGGGAAGAGGTCGAAGTTTCTCCGAAGAACAGAAAGTGGTATAAACGTAATTTCTTTCGGTGTGCTAGGCCCCGGGGACGTCAAGGAACTGCCCGGAACGAGAGGCGGGTCCCGGGGAAGAGGTCGAAGCTTCTCCGAAGAGCAGAAAGTGGTATAAACGTAATTTCTTTCGGTGTGCTAGGCCCCGGGGGCGTCAAGGAACTGCGCGGAACGAGAGGCGGGTCCCGGGGCAGAGGTCGAAGCTTCTCCGAAGAGCAGAAAGTGGTATAAACGTAATTTTTCTTTCGGTGTGCTAGGCCCCAGGGCCGTCAAGGAACTGCCCGGAAAGAGAGGCGGGTCCCGGGGAAGAGGTCGAAGCTTCTCCGAAGAGCAGAAAGTGGTATAAACGTAATTGTTCTTTCGGTGTGCTAGGCCCCGGGGGCGTCAAGGAACTGCCCGGAACGAGAGGCGGGTCCCGGTAAAGAGGTCGAAGCTTCTCCGAAGAACAGAAAGTGGTATAAACGTAATTTCTTTCGGTGTGCTAGGCCCCGGGGACGTCAAGGAACTGCCCGGAACGAGAGGCGGGTCCCGGGGAAGAGGTCGAAGTTTCTCCGAAGAGCAGAAAGTGGTATAAACGTAATTTTTCTTTCGGTGTGCTAGGCCCCGGAGGCGTCAAGGAACTGCCCGGAACGAGAGGCGGGTCCCGGGGAAGAGGTCGAAGCTTCTCCGAAGAGCAGAAAGATAAACGTATTTCTTTCGGTGTGCTAGGCCCCAGAGGCGTCAAGGCACTGCCCGGAAAGAGAGGCGGGTCCCGGGGAAGAGGTCGAAGCTTCTCCGAAGAGCAGAAAGTGGTATAAACGTAATTTCTTTCGGTGTGCTAGGCCCCGGGGGCGTCAAGGCACTGCCCGGAAAGAGAGGCGGGTCCCGGGGAAGAGGTCGAAGCTTCTCCGAAGAGCAGAAAGTGGTAATTATACATGTGATTTCTTCCGGGTCCTTGCTGATCTCCTGGGTCGGCGTTGGGCTCCCTTGGCGGCGCCTCCTGCGGCGCCAGCGAGGGGGGCCCGGCGCCGATCCGAGAAATCCGCGCGGGCCTCCGCGAAAGGATGTCTACGCCGTGCTCTCTTGTTTTGATTGTGGGGCCTAGGTGGGGAACAAAGGTAATACGTCGAGGCCTGAGCAGAAATCCCAAGGAAAAACATCACTGTGCATGGACTCCAGATTTGGCTTAAGAAAACCAGCCGTATGGACTGGACCCTGGGCGTTCTCTCGGGGCTGTTGTTCGTCGAGCTTTGGTATATCTCTGGTCCTTGACTGCTGTAGCAAAGTCCGGCTTCCTGGCTCGAAAGCCGATGAACTCTAAGCAGGGGTGTACCGCAGCAGATTCCGTCCCCGCAGCGCGGCGCAATTCTTCCATGCACGGTGAAGTACAGGCAAGTGGAGCCAAGGGTGGAGCCAAGGTGGAGCCAAGGTGGAGCCAAGGGCAACGGCTCTGGTGGAGCCAACGGCAACGGTTTCCAGCAGTTGGGCACTGATGGACTGTAGTAGTGGAAGGGGCTTGGTGGCATTGTGTTTGGTTATATATATATAAAAATTTTATTTTTATATATATATATATATATATATATATATATATAAATATGCAGGGTGTCGTTCCAGAGGGGACCTCGCCTTCGAGGAACCAAGGGGTGGCCTCCTCCTCGGCGGGAGGCCCGCGGAGGCAGAGCGGGGGCGACTCGGGTGGCGGAAGCTCTGCGGGAGGCGGCGGAAACCAAAAATGCGCCCCCTTGAGGTGGCACTTCTTGACTCTTCGCTTATGATGTTCCAACCTACTTTAGCTTGGATCGCCAGCAAGAATTTCGAGCACCAAGAAACACCCAAAAAATCTATGGTTTTCACGTGTCGGGCCCTGGGAGACACTCTTTCGACACTGTTTCGACACTCTTTCGACACTTTTCTGGGTGCTCGAAATTATTTCTGGGATGTGGTCCTTAAGTACGATGGGAGCAACATAACTCTTCGCATGTCTCCACCCGGCCCATCTGGAAGCGATGCCCACTTAGATCACCGCGGGTCGCGGGGGGTGCTAAAGGGATAGGAGGGCTAGAAGTGAACGCCAAGGTCGGTGATACCTGGCCGGACCTAGCTCATAAGTGGGCTACACACGCCCTAAGTGGCTTAGGGGGGTTAGATAATTCCGCCAAGTGGGCGGAGCACACTTGGCCCAAATCATTAACCCCACGAAGCCATTGAGGGCATGTGTACCCCATTAATACTGCCGAGTTTTTGGGCAGATATTATCCACCTCAGCTTCCACTTTGAATCCGCTATCCCCTTGCCCCCCCCCCCCGCGGTGATCTCAGCAGGGGGGTTGTCTGTCAGGGGTGCTTGAGTAAGCACATCAGTGCAACGAGGCCAACAAAGTTGAGCTTGGAGGCCTCGGGTAGAGCCGCTTGGCGCCTTTTGGGAGCTCCCTTGGGGCCCTCTTTGGGGCCTTGGGGACCATCTTGGAGGCCATCGGTGAAAGAAACGAGCGGCGTACATTACGCGCCCCCAGTCGGAGCCTTCAAAATCGCCTTTTGGGGCCCCGTAGGGGCGGTCTTGGGGCCGTCTTGGAACCCTCCTGGACCCTTTATGGGAGCCTCTTGGGCGATCGTGGATGCACGTTGAGGCTTTAAAGAGTCCGTCGGAAGCGAAAACGCAGAATACCAAAATCACTGATATCCTTTAGGTGTCTGAAGGAATTAGCCATATCTAGAGTGTCCTTGGAAGGATCAGTGGCCACTTGGAGCCGTCTTGGAGCGGTCTTGCAGCGTCTTGGAGGCATGTTGACATCCATGTTGAGCCATGCGGCGATATCTTGTTCCATCTTGGAGGCTGTCGTGGGACATCGTGGGCCTTATGGAAGCCATCTTGGGCCATCCTGAACCGTCTAGCAGCCCACGAACTCCCCCGCTTCCAGACGCAGGAGAGGTGGAGGGGGTGGGGCGAAGAGAAAACCTTGGAAGGAGCAGGGGGGGGCGTTTGAAGAACGGACTTGCTAAACCACCTGCGCCCAGAGGGTCTGGAATTTCTTGGGGCTCAGAGTTTCTGGGACCAGCCAGCATGGTCGCTCCCGGCGCTGGGAGGCGCAGCACACACCAATTACGCGCAGTTGGTTCGCTAACGTCGGAACGGGTCGGACGGGGCTCGGACAAGGATAAATCCTTTCCAGAGCGTTCCGCAACGCTTTCAGAGCCTCCCGGAACGCTCTGAGAAGACCGCGGCGCCCGAGACATCTTCCAGAGCCGTCGGATCTCAGAGATCCCCGATTTATCCTCACCCGATTTCAACCTCGTCCTGGCCTCGTCTTAACGAGGGTCGAGTGGAGGAGGGCCAGAGGGGTCCACAGCCACGGGGGGGAGGGTGGGCATGGCGCGCGTCCGGTCG